CCCCCCCCAAAAAAAAAACCCCACCACATCACACATCTTTCTTATGCATCTAACATGGAAGAAAGTTCACACTGTTTGTTTCTTCTCTTCTCCCTATTTAGATTATCTGTGACATTATCTTGCAACTGATGGAGGAGAAATTTGGTGGAGACTGCAAAGCTTCCTTTGAGAAGGTGACCAATGAAATCTGCGCTCACCTGAACAATGCCTACAAAGAAGCTGGTTGGTGAGGATGCAACACCTAGGCTTCTCAAACTTCTCACCAGCCCTGATTTGCTGCTTTTGGTCCTCCAGCCACAGTTGGAAGAAAGAAAAAGTCAAAAAAAAAAAAAAAAAGAGTTGAGAGAAAGAGAGAGACTTATATAATACAGATATTAATGTCAATAATTGCCTTAGCAAACTGAGTTTCTACAATTAAATGAAAACCACATACACATACATGAAAACCAACCAACTAATCCTGACATGCTTTGCAGCTGCAGTGTTCCAGGTGGGTTCTTCTGGCAACAGTCCTCGAAGACCACATAGCTGATTTTAAACTTGCTAATCCTGAGTGAAAGACTTTCTCCTTACACCAGCCCAGAGAGGAACCAGCAGCTCTTTTATCTCAGCTATCACCTTTCCGCACTTGTGAATGACAAGCAGGAGACCGTTTTGAAGCATCTCTTGTGTCAGGGACTTTGAAGAGGTCATGTTCTGAGAGACATAAGAGCCATTTCTTGTTTGAAGTTAAAAATGGGGGCAGGGGGAGGTTCTCTGAGTATAGGAAAGAATAACTTCTGAGAACGTCACAGGGAAAGTCCTATCTCGAGCAAGCCGGCAGAGCCCCCCCGCAACCTGGGACGAGGGTGTCTCAGAGAGCTCAGGGGATGGCAATGCTTTATGGGAGGTGGCCTGGGGCCTGCGGTCACCACTCCTTCTCCAACCCTCCCATTGGCATGGGATGAACACTCTCAGCACCTAGGTTTCACGGTGCCTGTCACAGAAAATTGCTCCAATAACCTACCCAGGAGAGGGCAATAGTACCATGCTCATTGGCTCCCACACTACTTAAAATTCATCCAAACGAGGGAGGTTTCTCTTCCCCTCCTCCCAAGTGCGGTGTGGCAGGTTCAGCTCTCTGCAAGATTTCTACAGTGCTTCCCTCTTCCTATCCTTTCATGAGGCCTGAATCTCATTTTAGGAGTAACTGAGTCCAAAACTATTTAATTGCTTTTTCTCGTATTCCTTAGAGGTGGTGAAATCATCAGCTAATAACTGCAAATAACCACATGCCATTTTGCTGAAGTGTAACACAATAAACACAAAGAAAGCAGATGCATCTTCTCATTTGTAACACAGAACAGGCACTCAAAACGCGTTTGCCTTGCAGAAATGGTAGCTGGCAATAATGCAGGGTTGCTAGTGGTAGTGTGGGGTTCACCTAAATCAGCTCAAGCTGCCATCCAGGCACCCATCAAACTTGCACTAATCAGACTCCTAAGATGATGAGAAGGGAAGATTTTCACTTCTCCATGGAAGAAAAATATTGTAAACAGTTTAAAAAAACCCAAAAGGCAGAATTAGAATTCTCCTTCATTTGATGTAGACTTTTCCTCACCAAACCAGGTTGTTTGCCAAGGACACTGAAATCCCAAAGTCCAGAATATGAACTCTTGCTGGAGAAGGAGGGTGAGGTAGTAAGTCAATGTAAGTCAATATTCTGTCCTGCTAAAGGAGCCAGGCAGAGTTGGGCTTTCACATGCCTGGAATAAAATTATGGCACAATGGCAATAGAGGAAAGTGATGAATGAAGAGGGTTTCTCAGAGCTCAGGATCTTATCGTTTCCAAGGTCTTTCCCAAATGCACCGCTTCTCATGTTGCAAATCAAAGCACAAAATGAGTAGAATCTGAAAGCAGTCCAGGAAAAGGGAAACGAACTAAGTGTTTAAGCTGTATTTTAAAAGGGGGTAAGTTGGTAGGTAGGTTGGGAGGATTCAGTAGTTTCTTCACTGGGAACAGAATATGCACTTGAAAGGGTAAAAGGTAAAAATCAATTTTTAATCTAGCTCTCCAGAAGACATGATCACATCTAAAACATTGTCTGCGTAGGTGGGTGGGGAGTGTTACTGGGAAGCATATTGCTCTACATTTTCAAATTTTACAAGGAAAGACTTGTAAAAATTATTTATAGTCTCACATTCATCAGAGACTGCACATGCAAAGCTAACACTTTGAAATGCTTAGAACTAATTTCCATTTTTATTTGCTCTGGTGCATGTTAAGAGTGCTATTTGCCATGACAATGGATATACAGAATACTATGCTTGTCATAGGCCAGCAGGCATAAACATCCCAAGCTGACAGGGACTTGGAAACACCGGCTGATGGTTTAAGGCTCTTGTGTTATCTGCTGCTGTGATGGAGAAGGAGAGGTGTAGCAAAAGCAAAGTGTGTAAAACAACTCAAACTCAGGAAGAGAACTAAAGGGGGAATTATTTTTTAATTCCATTTACAAGGAAGCTACACAAATTTTTAAAGAGTTGTATGATATGAATGTTTTAGGAATTCATGAGCTTTTTTCTTTAATACTATAACTCAGATTTCATAGGATGGCAGGAAGTGTTCACAAAAGAAAATGAGATGGTACCTTGAGTTTGAGGATATCTGGGTTTAATTCTCATTTTCCACCAGCTTCATTACACAGCTCTGGCTGACTTGCCTTTCTTTGACCTCAATGTCCCTCTGCAAAACGTGGAAAATAATCTATCTTTGTGTCATGGGAACATTCACAGAATCACAGAATCGTTTAGGTTGGAAGGGACCTCTGGAGATCATCTAGTCCAACCTCCCTGTTCAAGCAGGGTCACCTAGAGCATATTGCCCAGGATCACATCCAGGCGGGTTTTGAATATCTCCAGCGAAGGAGACTCCACCACCTCTCTGGGCAACCTGTTCCAATGCTCTGTCACCCTCACAGTCAAGAAGTTTTTTCTCAGGTTCAGATGGAACTTCCTGTGGTTCAGACTTCCTGTGGTTCACACACTTAGAAGGCAAATCAAACACACTCTTTACTTGGGTGAACTAGTAAATACATGATTTTATAATGTAACATATGCATCTTAGAAATAACGTTGATCCTGTGAAGAGAAACCTAAGGAAAACAACATACCTAAGGATGGCAGGAAGAGATTTTCTACGGAACAATACCAGTGAGTGGGTCCAAAGCCTTCACATACAATCATACAATCTGTGGGACATCAAGAATCACAGAATCACAGAATCGTTTAGGTTGGAAGGGACCTCTAGAGATCATCTAGTCCAACCTCCCTGCTCAAGCAGGGTCCTCTAGAGCACACTGCCCAGGATCACATCCAGACGGGTTTTGAATAACTCCAGGGAAGGAGATTCCACCACCTCTCTGGGCAACCTGTTCCAGTGCTCTCTCACCCTCACAGTCAAGAAGTTTTTCTCAGGTTCAGGTGGAACTTCCTGTGGTTCAGTTTCTGCCCGTTGCCTCTTGTCCTGTTGCTGGGCACCACGGAGAAGAGACTGGCCTCATCCTCTCGACACTCCCCCTTCAGATACTTGTACACATTGATCAGATCACCTCTCAGTCTTCTCTTCTCCAGGCTCAACAGGCCCAGCTCTCGCAGTCTTTCTTCATAGGAGAGGTGCTC